TTGTTCTTCCACTTCAGGCAAATCACTAGAGAATTCCACTGTAGTGTTCTTGTACATAGATAAACTCCCCTTTATTTCGTTTTTGGATTTAACTGTAGTTGGGATGGGCAAAGGTGTTACCGTTGACTATATTGCTCAACTGGTTAAAGCGCGGGGTTCTTGTGTTTAAATCATGGTCTTGCTTTACCTATGGACTTTTACACTCAGAATACTGTTGTAGCATTGTTCTTGTCGTCTCATGCTATATTTTATATTTCATAAAAGTTCTGCAAGGTACACATACACGCTTTTCTGAAACTAAATAAAGATTTATTAACGTTATATGTATGCAAGCAAAAGTTTCCAATGCATAGACACAGTTTTAAACTGTGGCACAGGGATACTTAAAAGACCAGAGAGTAGAGTTGTTTTTGTTGCATAAATACTTTGCTTAACAATGTCATGCTATGGTATATTGTATACGTTATGTCAAATACAGTGCTGTATGCCTATTCTACGCTAGTTTGTTACTCTGATATTACTGTTAGTTGACCAATAACTTTGTTTACGAGTTTTAATCCGCGTATATAACTTCTCAATGACTACCTCCCTAAAATACCAAAACTGTTATATTTAAAGTAGAATTTAGCATTACAAGTATATGCTTAGCTATTTCTTCTACAATGATAAACACAAGAAAAATTCCTTAATCAAGTTAATTCTGCTATTTTATCAACTATTTTTTATCCAGTATTTTGTCTGGTCATGATATGATGGCATTGTCATTGAAAATGTTGCTTTCGTTCATGTTAACTTGGACCCCTAATTATGCCAAATGAAAGTAACCCGTTTAAAAAAATAAAAGAGATGAATTAAGCTGCACCTCTTCGTTTCAAAATGTGACCTCTATATTCCATTAAGAAGTTAAGAAGAATGTTGCTTGGTACTATCATAATTTCTAGCGTATTTCTCTTGGGCTATACGATTAATAAATGAAAGTATTTGCTTGCAACCATGTGAAGAGGACTATCTGTTTGGTTTAAGATGGGAACGCATTCTCTGAGAGAGCACCAGATGTTGTTTCCGTCTTTATATAGGACATCATTTTGTCTAATCGTGTTGTTTTTCCGATTTCTGTTTATATATTGATCGTGTGTTTTTTTTGTCATATATTATTTGTACTAGCCTTTAACAAGTATTTATTGGTATAATTATCTATGTGCAAAATGAACGCCGAAAAAAGTATACAAAACAAGAATGTTATTAATGTTCTAAGTAAAAAAAAAATATATACGACTTCTCAAACATCTTCGATCAATATGATAAGATTCTTGTTAAGAAAATGATTATAATTTTTTTTCACAACAATACCCAATGGTAAATTTGTACCATTCTTTAAAGATGAGGGATATAAAAAAAATGATAATAAATGTGTTCTTATGCAAATTATCTTTCATGTATTAAATAGAAAGGAGGTAAAAAAATGATATCAAATCTATTTTACCTGGCTGTTCCATCGTCTGCTTTTTGTCTGAATATTGAGACCTACGTGCTAACTCTCGTCCCTGTCACAGCAAATAGATGAAGCACGTTTATGTAATCTCTTTTGCTGATTCTGCATGTAAATTCTGTTTAAATCAAATTCAATTAGTTGTTATCACTTAATCCTGAGGTGATGATGCAAACAAATCATTTTTCTTCAAAGGATTAGAGTTAACACCTTTTTATATTTCAATTACTATAGTAAAGATTCGTTTTCTAAAAGGAGATAAGGAAGAAAACATCAAAGGACTTTTATGATAGAAAATATAAGTTTAAATGTGTATACGTTCTGTGTCCGCTCGCAGAATAAATATTTCGATATTTCATGTTTGTCATTAGTGTATGATGAGTGTTGTCTAATTGGTAAAGCGATATATCTAAATATTTCTGGATATTTACAAAGCATTTAACGACGCCTCTTCTAACTTCATTATTTCAGCTTTGCTATTTGCTTATGATTTAAACGACACTTAAAGCCGTGTTCTTGAATAGTTAATCACGGTTTAATCTTCTGAAATCAATTTCTTTAAGGTCGTTTGGAGCTACCATTTTGACCGCTGAAGAGTGTCTCCGGATTTTGAAAACCTGATACCTAGTTATCACTGTTCAATTAGTTTGCACTTCGGATACTAAACACGGTAGGTAAACAAAGCAGAAAAACATCTTGAGAGGAACCCGACGGTTTTTTCCTTTTCAATTAAATAGAGATATGTTAAATGGGGTTTAACCCATTCGTCGTGTCAATATGTTGGTGGTCCAAATGTGGTGTCTCGAAAAGGGTAGGATTAAATCAGAACAGTTGATTCCACATAACCGGAATTTGTCACCTGCGTGAACATATTCGAGTTATTTAGTAGATAAGGTTTCATAAAGAAAGCAAGAGTTAATATGTAAACAGGTATTCTTAAATCAATTTGAGTAACGAACGTTAGACGTAGTAGACCAGTTTGAATTAAACAGGCTCTATTACATGACATATTTTCTACCGATTTGATTGGCGTTCGTTATCATGCTTATACAACTAAATGTTTATTAAGACTCTTGTCTTAAGTGTGCTTTTTACAGTTTGAAAATAAACTAACAAGAGTAAGATAAAACATGATAATCAGCTACAGGCTACACGATATATGAAACCTGTTTCTGAAGTCAGGTTAGAAAGTTTCGACTATGTAGTAATTCCTGAATTACGTCATAATCCAATTTCATTTTAAGCACGCTCTCTCAAAGGATTGTAACGTACTGCTTCCACTAATGCAACGCTTTTAGCCTTCATATGAACTGGGAAGCAGAAAGATTTTATTTATCATTGCTGTTTATTAAATAAGATGGTAGTCTTGAAAAACGTGGCAGCTATATTACAAATGTATGTTCAACACTGAATAGAGTCTTCAACTTGTGGTTTATGATGTTTTTCGTTTTGTTTTGGCGTTTCCTTAGTTCCTGTTGTTGTCTTTCGTTTTGATTTGGTGTCTTCTCAATTCGTGATGTCTCTCCTTTTGATTTGGCATATCCTCCATTTCTGAATTCCTGTTTTGTTTTAGCGTTTCCTCTGTTCCTGTTGTTGTCTTTCGTTTTTTGTTTCGGTGTCTCCTCCTTTGGAGTTTTTGTCTTGCCTGTTTTGGTGGTTTCTCCTGTTGTTGTTGTGTGTATTGTTTCTGTGTGTACTCCATTCGTGTTTTGTCTTTTCGTTTACGTTTTATTAAGTGCCAATTTCGTCCTTGTATGTTGACGCGATAATAAATATTTTCCTTCTTTGTGTTTTGAAACAATGATATATACTCTCCTGGTGTGCTGATTATATGATGTAATTGTTTTGTCCTTGTGTTTTACGGATGTGGTATGTTGTTGGCTTTGTGTATAATGGCTGTGGTATGTTTTCTGCGTTGACGGTAGATAATTATTTTCTTCTGAAACACCTCAACAAATTTCAGAATAAGAACTGTTTTACAACATTTGAAGATGGCATTCATTTCCTTTGCAATATACTTCAAATTGATATAATTCGTAGTTGTATACTGATATTCATTTTTATGTGTGTTAACGCTGTTATATATATTTCATTCTTGTTGCTGACGATATGATATATATTTTGTCGTTGTTGTATATTGACGACATGGTAATAATTTTAAATTTTATTTAGACACCAAATCAAATCATTATATGACCATTAGAACTCGTCGTTCAATTATTTTGCATTAGACGCCAATTTATACCAAATACAATTCAAGTGACTTGTGTAACCATTTTGTTTCTATTCATTATTCTGTATGTTAATCTAATTATATTAATGTGATATCTTCCTTTATTCGTAAGTCAATAACTTCAGCTGAGAAAGACATTAATATAAATAAGATTTTGTTGTCTGCATGTTTAAAAAAAAAAAAAAAAAAAAAACATAAATAAAAATTCCTGTGTTCCTTATCCTGAATGATCGTCTTGTAATTGTTATCAGATCCATATTTGAGATTTCGATCTCACCCTTTTTGTCTATGGCATTACTGATAAATCCTATTAATACGAAATAGCTGTATAGAGGAATGTTATTTATTCATGGCATACTGTGAACTTACCAAAGTTTATCGGTGCATTCACATGTGTGCCTCTTACTTTCATCGTTCATAAGTTATTGTCGCATCACATAATCAAATCTGAGAGTGTTTCCATTAATGGAATTAAAATTATTATACAATATAATCTCCCACGCATGGCCTCCCTCTTAATTTACTTCAGATGAAACTGAAATGGCGATCGATCTTCTATCATATCAAAGCACGGCTACTTGAACACGTACCTACCCTTTGCACCGCCGGTATCCGAGTAAACAGTTTGTTGGAGTTTAGTCTTAAATTTACAACGTTCACGAAATAAAACCGCTTTTTAAACAGATTAAGTGCTCCAAATACCCGTTAAGAACTTAAATTTAAAACCCGAATGGATTCGAGAGTGTTGAGGAATAGCTTCATATAGTTTGAAAATGAACTTATAAATAATGACACCCCGATTCTCTTCTGTATGAGGTTCCTTAGGGGAACTTCTAATTATTTCCAGATTATATTTCATTCCAAATCAAAGAACTGCTCCAAAGTGTTATTAAGTTTTGTTCGGTGTATAATATTCACAATCATTAACAGTGGATGAAGGTTTAAAACCCTCAAATTTCGTACAGTAAAATATATTTCTTAAGAGTAGTTAGATGTATGTCGTAAATCAACAGTACTCCGGAAACCCCACTGAGTGCCTCTAGACGCTTACGATGTTTACTCGCGACAGGCTTTAGGGATGACAAACACAGTTTCTTTGATCATATCAAGTGATTCTACTAATTGATTGTAAATATGAAGAGTCGGTAGGGTGTCAGGGAACGTATCCTACTGTTTATATAACACTTCTTTTGTTTATCGAATAATCTGAAGCGCAACCTACCTTAAGAATATAACAGAAGAAGACCCCTCTCGTATAATCATTAGAACAGTCTCTTTCATACCGGGCACAGGTGTGTCGTTGGATTTTACTTATTATCTACTATTACAGGTAGTGTTATACTTACAACATTAAGGCATTAATTGCTATCATCCAATGTGTAGGAGTTATAAGATAATACAAAATGTATATTAGGAACGATATTAAGATAAAATAAAATAACTTTCAAATTGAACCAGGAAAACTAAAAATTGTTACTAAGATAATTGAGCGCTTATTAGTGAACTTTGATGTATGTTTCTCATCTTTTTTCTTTTTTCTTTCTTTTTAAAATCAGTAATATTGTGAAAACAATTTCTAACATTAGTAATTTATTTTTTAAGGTGGTAATTCATTTTTATATAACTTTGACTGGATAAAGAAAATTTTGTTTAGAATCTGGCTTTAGCAGTCGATTATGTGATCTTTGATTTATAACTAAATTAGAATTCATTAACACATGTTTATTAAATCAAAAATTCGGGTTTCTCACTTTTCCATTTACACATAATTTGATGATGTCTACAAGAATAATTGTTATTGAATTCCAGAATTACTAATGATAGTCAAATGCTAATTAAAAATTATTATTTCTCGTCAAACGATATGTTCCTAATTATGCTTGGGTAATGTTCTTTTGATTGCAAATTGATGGCAGAATGGCAGACATTCATTTTTAATTTCAGGAATGGGATTAAGTTGCGTAAAATGTATAGTTAGTCTTAAATTCAGTTTTTTTCTCACATTTGCAGAAAATGATGATGCAGAATCTATCTGGTGCGACTTACCCGCCTCCCCCACCTACAGGTCTGGGGTTTGGTGGAACACTTGCCCCTTCCTTTCCCGGAGGGTCTTTCTTTCACGGTCACCTGCCGTCCTCCTTTAATTCTGGATTCCCTGCTTCCGTACAAGCCTTCACGCTGGCGGAGAAACTGGCCGGTAAGTACAAAGCAGTATGATATTTCTCCTTTGAAATTACGTGTAAGAAAGTGAAGAAAACACATTTGTGCAAGTGATAGTGTCAATGCATTTGTCTTGTATAAATGTTTGTACTCATTTGTTGAGTAGGTAGACTAACAAAATGTGGATGAAGTGATATGTCATGATTAAACACACAATAACGTTTCAGCTACATGTAATACGCGGACGCACTTTAAATTATGTTATACTGCTCCGCTTTATTTAACTTTCAAAGAACGAGTTTATTAAATAATGGTTAAAATGATACTTCGTTTATTATAGTATACAACACTACTCCATCTCCTGATAAGGAAGTCTTCATTTGGCTTACATGAACCATTGCTCTTTTTGAGACAATGAACTTCAAGTGAATATCTTTGTTTTCGTCAAAAAGACAACTTGTATTTACGTAAAGGACTGTTTTTGAGAATTGGGGTTATGATTCTTTATTGGTTAGTGCGTTTTGTCTGTATTTATTATACAAACAGTTCTTTGATAATACACTGAAATGATAACTGATGATGCGTTTTATTTATTTTTAGTTTAACTATACTCATTAAATCTGTCTAAACATATCAAGGTTAAACATATTACATTAGGGACTGTAACTTGAGTTAATTTATTTCAACATGACGAAAGGGCAGGTCTCAATTCGTTTTTTGATTTCACAAAAATGCCGTCTGACTGGTAATTTTATTATTCATCGACAAAATATTTCTTTTAAGACGTTCAATTAATATTCCGTTTAAAAGTTTATTATTTCGGACTTGTTAACAGGGATGAGAAATTGTCTACTAACTACCGTTTTTTCCAGTCGAATATTCATGCAAACGTCTGTAAAATTAATTTCATGGACGGAAAACTAATATTTAATATCTTATACTAGAGTCCATAGATCGTCATGCATGTTCACACATGTGCAAATAACATATGATAATTATATTTTGCATTTTCAATGTTCGGAGTTTAAAAAAATGTATCTGTAAGCTGAATATTTATATGGCCTATTATAGGACTAAGTCTATATTCAACTAACATAATCAACTAATAAAGTCTTTCTCATATATCGTCATAAATCGACCATATTTGTTTTACTTTCATCAGCGGACATTCTACTGGAGGCAAGATACGGTCAACACCGGAAACAGAGACGAAGCAGGACTGCATTTACGAACCAGCAGCTGTCCGCACTGGAGAAAACATTCTCAAAAACCCACTACCCGGATGTAGTTATGAGGGAACGTTTAGCTATGATGACTAACCTGCCTGAAGCAAGAATACAGGTACATTTATGTTTATTGATATTTTAGACAGAAAATAATGTTCCTGTTCATGGTATGATGTTTGATTATTTGGAGTTGGATGAGTTATAGCTAGGTATAATGAGGTGGTTTTATGATTTAAAATAATCAAATCGAAATTGATGCTGACTTATTATTCAATGGCAAGATCTTCCAGATTTTTTTTTTATTTCCGTTGATATCAATAATTTAAAAGTATGACAACAAAGATTCTTCTTTATTAATTTAATATTTTAACATTTAACTGTTTAACGGTGTGACAGAAACGGTCTGCATAATGCAAAAGTCTTTCACAAACGTATGACTTGAATATCACGAGACTTACTTTTTCTGTATTTAATGGTAACATGATCAACATAAGCTTGTTATGGTGCTAACACGCCACAACTGTATCAGATCCTGATATATATATATGTGTGACTGTTTTCTCGATAGATACGCCCTGTTCATATAACGCAGTCATAACAAATTCAAAATAAGGATGAACATATTTAAAAAACATAGTAAATCGATGGTGACAACCACACCAAAGTAGACATTTTAATGTGCTATTTGACCACTACGTCTCTTTAGGAATAATCAATGTTGCTTAAACCTGAAAAACTCCTATTCCAAATATTTCGAAACATCTATAGAATTACGGCAAAAGGGAAATGGAGATGAATGTTTTGAAAGTTAAGGTCTGCATTTTATGATTTGACTCGGCCTTGTATGTTCGGGGACATCAGAACGAAACTGACAGGAGTATTCCATTCTTAGCTCTGCATAGTGTCCCTTTCCATCATATTGGAAACGTCAGAGGGACCAAAACAGAGCTGCTATCCCAAATGCAACACTTGTTTTTGTCATGTTTTGTTACTTCATGTGGCTGTTTTCTTCTTAAAACAGTATTTTTATTTACTTGTATGTCGTTCTTGACACTTCTTTTAAACATTTGATTTGCTCTTTACATTACCATGGCCATCGACCATTAACCATCACCAATATTGGGATGTTTTATTCAATCGAATTGTGTTGCTCCTTTCATTGTCTGTGCTGTAATATTTGAGTTCATTTGATATAATGGATGTTTCTTTAAGTATTTATACTTGGCCGTTTTGGTGTATTGGCCGTTAGGACTATTACACAACATGCTATTGTTGGCCTTTAAGAGAGTAATTCACAAAACTTTTCTACTGGTATTTCACATTGAAATCAATGCATATTGTACTTGTAATTGCTGTTAAGCATTATTACCACCTTACAATCATTCTTTCACAAAGGTCTGGTTTAAAAACCGAAGAGCTAAATTCCGAAAGAAGCAGAAGGTAACGAAAGGGAAAACATCGACGGAAACAAAGACAGTGGCTAAAACAAATACAACCGGTAGTAAGGATGGGTCCACAGTGGTTGACAAACAGGAGGAAATAAATGTTACCGAAAACGTGACTGGTGCATCTTCACAAAAAAGCCAAACAGGTGAATATAAACACACTCATACACATGGATGAGGTTTTAGCAATGAATTAATTCAGAAACTATATTACATACATTTATTGTAAGCATGATCCGTGAATTAAATCCTTTGTATTAAAATTGATATGTAACTTAAAATGAATATTGATTCTATAAACGTACATATTTTAGCGGTAGTATTATTTTAGCACTTTTCGCGCATAGAATATTGCACTTGATCACAATTGCGTCCATTGTTATTCATGGATGTTGTTCTATGTTGCATATTTTGTGGATGCGCCAATCCATCAAGGCTCTTATCTGTTGAAATTCGGTCATGCGCTAAAACTTTTACAGCAATATATACTACCATAGAGTAATGTTAAAAATGCCCGGTTCGTCAACCAAACATTTTTTCATTATAGAGTCGGACGATTCTTCTGAAGGAATTGATGTCACAAGCGACACCAAAAATGACGAAGACGATGAGAGGTGTGACAGCCCGCCGGAGTATTTACTAGATAAACCAGGTAAGCTATATACTTTGTCGTCATCGCATTCAGTACACTTCAAATGGTGTTTTATTCGCGAGATTATGATTTTCTTGATTTTTTTGCGGTAAATTCTTCCACGAGAATAAACACTGCGAAATTAATACCAAACTAGTCCATCCTTACCCTTGCAATTATTGTTGTTGTCACTAGATCTTAAAATCCGCGAAAAATAGCTGTTGCAAAAATAGCCATATCATGCAAAAATGTGAAAATTATGTACACGAAAAAAAATTGAATTTCAAAAGTAGTTTCAATATTGTTTAGCCTATCAAGGTAGACCGGAAACTTGTGGATATTGCATAAAATATTTTTTCAAGTTGTGTCTCGCTAGACACACTTTTTTTTACGCAAAACTACATTATACTACATGTATATGATTAATCAAGCTGTACAATTTCATATCAGGCATAAACTGGTTGGTTGATATATAGATTGAACTTTTTTATTCAAAGATCCGTGCCTTTATGAATTGCACTGGCTTACAAACCCACTTACTGGCGGATGTTAGATGAAACGATGGAATGAACTAGCGTGATGCCTTGTTTTATAAATGTTTTTGTTTCTTTTTCAGATATGTCATATTGCCGTCAATCAACAGATCCACCGTCCAATAACATTCTCCCAAACATCAACGTATTTCATTGGCAGAACCAACAGCTGTCTGGAGCAGTTCTTCACAAGCATGCGCAAATGCAACTCCAACAACAGACCGCAAACATGCTTAATATGACGTCACGTTATCCGGGATTTAATCCCGGCTATTCCCTTAATCACCCTGCACTGTTACCCCCTCCGACTGTGCGGTACGACTCCTTACATAACCGTGGTTTGATGCCGTTTGCAGTTAAAGACAATGCTTTGAGTACTAGCTTGGATAACCTTCGGTTCAGGGCCAGGCACTTCTCTCATCCAATGGGATATATAGACAATCTATAAAAATGGAATCTAATAGTCATTCCCTGATTGTACAAATGTTTTTTAAAAATATTCACAAAAACTCTTAATATTTTACAATGCTAGGACATGTACATAAAAATTATAATAAACATTTTCATGTACATTTCCTAGCATTATAAAATATTAAGAGTTTTTGTGAATATTTTAAAAACATTTGTATAATCATTATAAGATTAATTTATATTTTTAAGGCAAAATAAAACGTTCACCAATCAAAGAAAGACACGTGTCCGTTTTTGTATTAATAAAGATAAAGAATTTTCATAATTTGTATTTAATCTCATTGTGTGTATTAGCTGTTGACCATATTTCCTACAGTGAATACTATTATATTCTCAAATTTCAATATAGGGCTAAAGCCATATTTCATGGATTTATTCCTGATGACAAACATCAAATGTCTGAATTGGGAAATATATGAACAAGCAATAAAAGAAATGCTACATTGAGATTTGAAAAGCTGTGTTATTTGTGTATAACTGTTTTTCTTGGTTTTCATACCAAATGTTCATTTCAATTCAGCCAATTTTTTTCTTTGTACCCAATGAAAAATACATGTATAATGCTCATACACCAAAAGTAATTAAAAAAGGAAACAAGTTTTCTAGAGAACGCAATTGGCGCAATCTCGTTTTTGCTGTGAAAAAAACCCCAAATGGTTTTATTTATCAATTGAAAGAAAGTTCACACGCTTCTTTATTAAAAGATGTAACATGCAGAGTAACCAATCACAATGGGACTGCGTCATCAATTTAGTCTCATATTTCAAGCGCCATTGGTGACGTCGCAAAGCAATTAAGTTCACTGTTACAACTTTGAGTATCTTAGCGTTATTATAAAATGTAATCAAAAAATGTGATAGACAGAGGTATCTCAAATCTCGGGGGGATAAAACCCTCGGCCAAGCCTCGTTCGAAATCTTAAAATGATCATCCTCGGATCGAGATGTCTGTGTCTACGTCACACATGATTCATATATCATATGATTCCACTGTAATAACATTTCTAGACTTAGCAGTTGATTTTTTAAAACAAAGCTACAAATTTGAATAATGCAAACTTTCTTTGGAAACTTATCTGGCGGTCAGTAACTTACACAAAATGGAAAGGGCAACTGATGTCATAAATCTTGTAACATGAAGACAAGAATGGAAGGCAGAACAAACAAGAAAGGAGGCGTACCCGGACAAGTAGGCTTTGGAACTTTTGGGTTTAGCGTCTTTTTGACAGCTTCAATCATTGAAATATTTTTCTCCGTGTGTGTTATAAATAGGTGCATGTGTTCGTGAGGCAGTACTTTGGTGTATCTTCCCCTTTACGATAGCGCGGATCTGATGCCGACTTTATAGTATAGTGATACCTCAATGAAATACCATGCCAATGGCCCCAAGCATAGTGTTCCACCAAGTCGTATTACACTGTAAACGAGTTAACCCTTATTGCTGAACGTTTAGCAGGAAATAAAAATCACCATTTTAAGGACTTTGTTTATACCCTAGCCTGAAGAAGGAACCCATAGCTTTCCCCTCTTTGGTGACGATAAAAGGTCCAGATGATGCAATGGTCTCAGCAGACATTCTTTGGTCGCTTTTTTTTTGCTACCAAGCAGAGGGCACATAAGCTAAATCCCCATTCTGAAAGCGTTTTCACATTAGCTGTCTCTTTCAACATACAGGGTATCAGGTAAATTCTTTTCTCAATCCTCGACCTGTAGAGGTAAACCCACACAACGATGCAATGGCAAAGCATCGGTACACTAGCTGCATAGTAGAAGGTTTTGGAACTTTTCATCAACCAAAACCGGCGCTAAACTGACAAGCATGCAGTGCCGATAGAATCTGAATCAGAAGAATGTTCAAGTAATGTTATAGCATCTTGCAAAGGCGGGCTTCCGACAGAGTTGGGTATCAAACAAAGCTGTACTCTTATGATACAAAGAAAAAAGAATATCAATTACATCCTCTGCAACATTTTACCAATATGACACATGTGCATTAGTTACATGACCTAATGAGATATGTATATCGCACTCAGATTGCTAGAAGAGATTTCAAGACGACTGGATGGTGTTAAAAGTAAATTAATGACGTTATCAAGAAGGAATTAAAATGGATGATAGCGTTAAAGTCGTTTGTATTATAGCCAATAATTTTGAAATGTTGACAAGCGTACACCAGAGAAGGACATTCCAGACGAAACTATTAATTTCAGTGTCACTTATAACAAATAGTGGGGCGTGTCCAAATCAACCAGGTAGCTAGGTTACTGTTACACTAGAAGAAATGTTGGGAGGCGGGAAGCTACATGGAATGTACTAACAAGAACCCGATCAAATACCAACAGTTACAATTTATGTAATATGATAATTACAGACGAGATATAAAGATCATAAGACACATCAGTTGAAAGTAGGCGTGGAGGCTTCGCTTGACAGTAAGGGCAGAGTGAAACGAAGTTCTGGGAACGACGGAATCAAAAATGGCCAGGAAACGAGGATGGTGGCACCAGTTTGTTGACCAGCTGGGAGAGTTTCATAATGACGCGTTAGACATTTCTTGTTTAAAAAATGTCATGAACCATTAATAAACGTATTGCACAGACAAATAATCACGAAAACCTGCCAAATTTGGATGTCAGTGGCCATATTGACAAACTTTATTTTGGGAATTTCTGTAAGGTAAATAATGTTGTTTTTTTTTTAAATCACAAAAATAGGAAACTGAAGACATTGGGATGAAGCAAGACAATAAATAAATAAATAAATAAAGAAGCAAAATGAGTTGATACGGAATAGTAAGCTTTCCAATCCCCACACGTGGTGCCCGTCTAAACGTCAAATCCAGGAAACTATTCATGTCGCTACCCAGAATATATTTTATGATTGTATGATAGTGATTGGCAATGATTTCCTTTTCATTTAAAACAAAACCCGAACTGTCCAAATATTTCACTATTGGAAAGATACAAAACGTCATGGTTATCAAGTTTCGAAGACGTAATGAACTTGTCCGTTTTTAGCTCGCCTAATCGGTAAGCGAGGTGGCAAATAAAATGACGTGCAATATATCGAGGTTTTACTGTACATGTGTTTCTATTGATATTTGCTGTCTTATGATAACATACATCACTAATAGGCGAGCTACATGTATGCTGTTCTCCAACAGCTCTTGTTAACTTAGCGAGAGTGCAGGTAACATTTAAGTCATATCTGTTATTGATACGATCCATTCGACTACTAAAAGGTAAAATTTACTCGTCCACCTGTGTATTTACTGCATATGCTTCGAGACTTAAAATGGCACATACATTTGAATGGGTTACTCCGGTTTCCTCGTGGTCTTCTACAGTTTACAACACAATGGACCTCCGACCACGATAGTATTGTTCTAACCAACAGAGCTACCTGGTCAACAATATGTCTCTGGTCCAGTAACACTACAGCTATATCCAAAACGAAATTCAGGAAATATTACTAAATGTATTAAAAAAACATTGGAAAACAACAAAACCTTAATATAATGCCCCTCTATACATCGTTTCTCCTGGCTACTGTATGTTTATCGATAACATCTTTCAAAGTGTCCCTTTTTCCTTTAATTTTTCTTTTTTACGTCACCCTCGATGCCATACTTACATGTTGTTTGGACGTTAAACCCTATTAAACCAAACCAAACCTAATTGATTTACATATCCAAACCCCCTTATCACGTCTGGCAATAAAACGCGGTTTTACTGCATATATATTTGCATGATTTTGTACAAGAATAGTATGAGCGAAACTGAAACGTGCTGAGCTATGCACTTTAATGCCACTCAGTTCAGGGGCCGCAGTGGCCGAGTACGCACCTGACCGTCTACGATCAATAGCCCACATCATTGTGTTGCCGGTTCGAGGCCCACTTGGTACAGTTGCAAGATACTGGCCGCAGGTCGATGAAGGTGGTTTTTTTCCGGATACTCTGATTTTCCCCATCTCCAAACCCCGGCATGTCCCTTTACGACCATAGCTGTTAATCATATGATAGGACGTAAAACACAACCCAAACCAAATCACTTATTTCAGTTTGAAAAGAGAAGACAGGTGGTATCAATTTAAACCTTCTGTCTTCCATTAAGTATTCTCAAACCATTGTCTGAATATACAATGTACTTAATTGTTTGTTAGAAAAATATTTTTGTTATATCAGTCTAAATAATATATTTGAAACACTACACATCTATCTAGACTCCAATTGTATTGCAATGAAAATTCAAACGACATTATTTGGTCTTTCATCGTCCTGGTCCGTGTGTTTTTATTGTAAAACCCCGATACAACGCCCCTCGTTATATTTATCACCTCGCTTACCGTTGCTTCTACAAGTTTTTATTCACCTTTTTACCTTTTCTTTATAGTCCCATTGTCATACTTTGTCAATATATATTTCTAACAACTCTTTATAATACCAAAATATTGGCCAAGTGTGGCAGTTTAACGGGGTTGTACTGTTTCTAAACTTTCCCGTCAATGCAGTTTTGTCGACTGGTCCACGTCAGTTATACACCTAATGACACATACCATCCAGTAAACGACATTGTCATCTTGTGAATTTCACTGTCTCGTATTTATCAGAGTTTAGAGATGTCGCCACTTACACGATAAGTACATTTAAATACGACAAAATCGTCCATGGTTTACAACTTCAGATGGGCGACCATTATCCGGTACGTAAGCCCCCTGTATGTTAGTAATCGTCTCGACCGCTGACCTTAACGGTAACACTCAACGACCAGATATATTATTTTTGTCAAAGATCGAAAAAAATATTCGAATGTTTACACATGCGTATGGTCGATTGACGCATGCGCTATCGTAGTCAAGTGTGTCCTTTTTGAAACATATGTCATTGTTAATTGCACCTGAATGACATGTTGTTTCCTCTCGTTTTTGCAGACCATTTAATTTGCAATTTCAAGTGTGCAGTGTCGTAATTTATCACACAAGAGTGGACTTGAGTAATAGAAAACAAACCCAACGTGTTTGTAAT